AGATGCTTGTTTGTTAATTGTGTATTTAGAACTTTAATTGTAACGTGCTCTCCTTTTGCTTTCATGTCATACAGTACATTTCTAATCTCTCCTTTTATAGTAGCGCTGACATCATTAGTCTTTTTTTTTTGTACATTACGTGACTCTCCTGGCGTAGTAAGAGCTGCCCTTGTCTTGTATTCAATCTTTATTCTTGTCACTTGATTTTCAAAGCGTCCGCTACTCGTTCATGTACCGATGATAACGAAAGCAAAGGTCCGTTGTTTTCTTTTTCTTTTTTAAAATACTGGGAGACGTGAGTGGTCTCTTCATTCCCTTCTCACCGCACTTTACCATGTAGAACGTGACTCGCACAATTGAATTACGCATCTGTGTATCAGAGAGAGACGAATATTAACAATTCCGTAGTAGCTTATTTCAGGCACACGCCAAGAACGATGAAAACGAGTATAGGCAGGATAATAGATACCTGAATCTTTGGCACTGCCATTTTTAGTCTTTAAATTAAACTTAAACCCAAATTGAAGTAGCATAAAAAAAATTCGAAACACCTCCTTATGAAAATTCTTGGTGCGCCACTGCAATCTTCTATTGCTTTGAAGGGATCCCTCACAATGATATGTATTATTTTTCTAAGTGCAATTTTGTAATTGGGTTTTAAAACTTAGTATAAATAGTAACATTGTAGTATTAAGTAATAAAGATAAAACTAAGCATACTTGCATAATAGTTGTTGACATCATTTTATCTTGTACATTACAAAACTTTGTAAGTTATTTATAAATTATTTGTATTGTAAAATTGCTTTTTTAAATGTTAGTTACCACCAGCAAAAGGTCAATGTGCACAAATATTATTTTATAAAATGTTGAAAACAGCTATTAAGCGATTATAATACATAAAGATATATTTAACACAAATAAGAAATATGGGTGTCATGTTGTACAAGAAAAACTCAATAATACGATAATTTGTAGAATTCATAGAACTAAAAGAAATATTTCAAATTAAATTATTCTCAAAATTAAATAATATAAATCATTTAAAACACATTTTTTTAACACTAGAAGCGCGATCGTTCCAATTTTGACCCATTTCGAAATTCATCTCTGTGCAGTAAATATTCTATACTTGCTATAGCCTTAAATTTTTATGACATTTTGTGAATTATTTGGTACATAACATACACAAAAGTGTATATCTACTATGATAACTAATTTTTTGTTTTTTTTACGAAAATATCTTAAAGAGCGGATGGGTCATTCCATTGACCCAGCTATCTATATTAGTATAAATTATTTACAATTGATACATACTAATTTATATTGGAATTTAGGGGTTTACTCCTTATAACTAATGGCAATAGAATGAGAATGTCGAAATACATAATACTGTCTGAATGGAGAGGAAACCATACTTAAGTTCGCCAGATCATCCATCTCATCTCGATCTCGCGTCGTTCGTCGTTCTGTTCAGTCGAGTTTGAACTAGTGAAGTGGCAGTACGTCTTTTTTTACTTTTATTGACTACATATAAAGGGTCGTGACCATGAATAATCGGCCTTTGACTCATCAACAAAATTGTTGATGCAATGAATGAGATTTTAGAAGGCGAAGTATTGTACTCTTTATCTGATGAAGAGTGGCAACAACCAGCTGAAGTTGATTATACGTCCGATGACGACACGGAACCGATAGTGCCTAAGTCTGAGAGTAACGTTGTTGAAGGTATGTTATATGTTCTTATGTGATAAGATGATGATACTATTTCGTACTTTTATGTATTTTTTCGTTCTGATGTTGAATATATTTTTTTTTTCAGTGAATAACTATAGCCTATTCGCAGAAAGCAGAGGACGTGGTCGACGAAGCAGACGTGGAAGTAGACGTGGCCGTAGTCAACCACCAGTAAGAGCAGAAGGATGTAATTATGATGTTCTTTCTCAAATTCCTGTTGGCTCAGAAATTATAGCTCCTAATTGTACACTTTGGAAGATCGAAGCATTGTATAGTGTATCTGCTGGTAGAACAGCACATCAAAACGTGTTCAAAGATATTTCAGGGCCTACACCATATGCCAAACGTCGTGTCAATGAAACGTGTAACAAGCATTGGGTAATGGAATCCAAAGATCCCATTGGGTACCTAATGGAATCGAAAAAAGACCAGTAAAAATCAACCGAGGAGTAAGACTTCTTCTTCTTCAGATTCAAATCCACTAATGGATGTTAGCGATCACATTTTCCATTAATTCTATATTTCTTGCAATATGTATCAGTGATTGTATGTCGTTAATCCCTGTCCATTGCCTTATGTTTCGGAGCCAGGACATTTTCTTGCGTCCCATTCCTGTCTTGCCTTCAATTTTACCCTCGATTATAAGTTGGAGGAACTGGTATTTTTCATTTCGCATGATGTGACCTAGATACGCCGTTTTCCTTTTCTTGATGGTTTCGAAAAGTTGGCGTTCTTGGTTTATTCTTTTAAGAACATCTATATTATTTGTGATTTTCGCTGTCCATGGTATTTTTAGGATACGGCGATAGAGCCACATTTCGAAAGCTCCTAATCTGTTTATATCCCTCGTTTTGAGTGTCCAGCCCTCTACGCCATATAGCAGCACTGACCACACGTAGCACTTAGTAAACCTTAGTCTCAGTTAAAGATCGAACTCTGAACAAGTCGAGCTTGCTCAATGCGACATTTTACTTCCCTGTCCGATGCCCAGTCTTCAAAAAGCCACGATCCCAGGTATTTAAATATACTCATTCTTTCAATGGACTTAGTATTCAGTGTTATGGTGGAGTTTTCAAGTGCATCCAAGTTTCTGGAGATGATCATAAATTTGGTTTTTTTTGTATTAATCTCTAATCCCATTCGCTTACTGTATTCTCCGATTATAGTGACAAGTTGTTGAAGATCGACTATGTTGTCACAAATTAAGACACCATCATCAGCATATCGTATGTTGTTGATCAATACTCCATTCATTTTGATTCCCATCTTTGCATCCTCCAAAGACTCTTGAAATATGGCTTCCAAATAAATGTTAAATAAAAGAGGGGAAAGCACACATCCCTGTCGAACGCCCCTTCTTATATGTATGGGTTTAGATATAGAATTGTCTATTTTTAACTGTGCCGTTTGATGCCAGTACAAGTTTTGAATGCATCTTATGTATTTTTGGTCTATATCAACTTTCTTGAGGATCTGCAATAACTTGTGGTGTTGGACACGATCAAACGCTTTTTGGTAATCCAAAAAGCATAGGAAAATAGGAGTAAGACAACGAGACACAATATCTCCAAAATTATTTAGAGCTACGCTAGAAGATATTTAAGTCAATAGACAGGAACGAAAGATATAACCATCTTAGATACGCAGATGATGTAGTACTAATAGCCGAAGGGACAGAGATAGAACACGTAGATGAATATACATATCTGGGTCAACATGTCAAGGTAATCAAAGAAAATGAGACTACCGAAATAAGCGGACGTGTAAAAATGGGATGGGCAGCGTTCGGAAGACTCTCATACGTACTTAAAAATAAAAACATACCTTAAAGACTGTGAACAAAAGTGTTCAATTCCTGTATCCTACCTGTGCTTACATATGAAGCTCAAACCTGAACGTTCACTAAAATAAACATGGAGAAGATAAGAAAAACTCAGAGAGCTATGGAACGACAGATGCTGGGTATCTCACTCAAAGACGAAATCCGAATAGAGAAGAGGGCTTAAAAAAGCTATAATATATGTACAAGGAGCCATGGGCGCTAAAGTTATACATATGGATTCGCTGTGGTCCGAGAAGTGAGCCAATGCTTTTGTTAAAAGCGGGCAATGTCACGTAACAAATTTCGAGAAATAATGAAATATTTAAGATTCGATGTCAGGTCTACACAATCGCAAAGACTGAAAGACGACAAGTTTGCATTAGTGTCGGAAATTTGGTACAATTTCATCACAAAATCACAGAGCAGCTACGTTCGATGACCATACATCACTGTCGACGAGCAACTATTTCCATCGAAATGTAGGTGTAGGTTTACTCAGTTTATTGCCTCAAAACCCGATAAATATGGTCAAACATTCTGGATGGCCGTGGACAAAGACACAAACTACATTGTCAACGCCTTTCCGTATTTAGGGAAAGACGAGGCGAGGCCAAATAACGAGCGTCTCGGTGATTATGTGGTAAAAAAGTTGATGCAACCATTAAAAAAAAAAGGAAGAAATGTTACGTGTGACAATTTCTTCACGTCACTATCACTGGGTGAATTTTTGCAACAAAAAAGTGGTTATGCTTAGTACAATGCACTCGGATGTACAAATTGCATCCACTGAAAAAAGAATCCTGATACTATTACATTTTATAATGAGCCAAAATATGGTGTTGGTGTAGTGGACCAAATGGCACGCAAGTATTCAGTGACAGCATCGTCTAGGCGTTGGTCACTTCACACATTTTAGAATTTATTGGACTTAGCTGGAATAAATGCCTGGATCTTATATAAATCATTTAATGAATCGCAAATAATTCGCAGAAATTATATTCTAAAGCTAGGAGAAGAAGTCTCAGAAAAATACGCATGGACTAGAGCTGCTGCCAAACGAACTGTCATCCCAGATGAAATCAATGAACCTCAAAAAATCGAACACGTCGTAAAATCAGAGTGCTCTGGAGACAAATCATTTGTAAAATGCCACGAGTGTAAAAAAACAGTCTGTAAAAATGCACTTCCACGCAATATTTCGTATGTTCATTATGTAGGTAAGAGCTCTATCTAGTAATGTTTTATATTAGATTTTCACTTTGTTTATTACTAATATTAATGATCAAATAAATATATGATATTTTGGTTCAAGTTTCCTTTTACATTTTCGACTTAAATCAGACGGGTCAAAAATGACCCGTTCGCGCTTATAGAACTGGCAGAAATGTCATCTCTTCTAGTGTTAAATGCGTTATGTAAGTAATGACTATAAAAAAACTTACCATTTCCTGCAATAACTTGGAGGTTAGGGTACGTCGTTTTGATGAACTTGATCATATCTATCTGATAGCTTGAGTTTCCTTGAGAAGAATCTAGAACAACCACATCAACTCCAGCTTGTGCCAAAAGTGCTAACCTGGCTTTGTCATCTTCCCTAGTACCTAAAGCAGCTCCAACGATGAGTTGTTTGTTTTCGTCCTTTGAAGCTATGGGATAACTTTTGGCCTTCTTTAAGTCAGTTCTCGCCATAAGAGCTATGAGACTGCCATTGGTATTCACTATGGGTAATTTTCCTTTTTTACTCTTTTCTAGTATGTGATTAGCTTCTGTTAATGTTACTCCAGACTGAGCTGTCACTAAATTCTCTAATTTCGTCATTATTTGTTCTAACTTAATACTTTCAAAATTAATGTCGTCTAAGAAGTCAATATCTCTCGAAGTCACAATACCCACTAATTTACCACCAAGTTTTCCGTTCTCAGTAATTGGAATTCCACAGAAGCCATGCTCATTTTTTACTTTAAGGACATCTGAGACTGTGTTTGTAGGGCACAGAACCACTGGATCATGAATAAACCCATGTTTGTATTTCTTTACCTTGTGTACTTCATTTGCTTGATATGATGGGAGGCAGTTGTGATGAATAATTCCAATACCCCCACAAAGCTAAGAAAAACGAAAAACAACAATAAATTATGTGTACTTACAACTTAAATCAGCTATAACTTAAAATATTTAACCCATTAACAGCCAAAGGTACGTCTACGCACCCTTTTCATTTTTATTTTTTTTACATACTGCTAAAATACTTAGTGCTGTGACAAGTATTCACAAATATTCTAGCATGTTTGTTTTATCTTTATAACCATATGTACTTGATTTTAAATAAAAAAAACTGTTTTACAATTTGTGAAAGTAGACACGTTTATATATACATCGGTTTTAGAACGTCTTTCGACGTTGTCCGATACCTAAACACCATCTCTTCCTATCTTTGCAGTCGTTTGTTGTTAAATTTCTTTCGCTCATGGACTTGTTTACGCCGTGTTGCCATTCTAATCTGGGTCTTCCTCTTTTCCGTCGACCTATCGGTTGCCATTCTACTACTTTTTTGGGAGTCTTGTTGCTGGCATCCGTTGAACATGCCCATACCACCTTAATTGTTTCTTCTCTATATCTTTAGTTATATTTCCTTCTATTCCCATACGTTGTTTTATTACATCATTTCTGATTCGGTCTCGTCTGGAAATACCTAAAGATCTTCTCATTGCATCCATTTCTACTGCTTCTATTCGATTTTTGTTCTTTTCACTAATTCTCCATGTTTCAGCGCCATAAAGAAGAGTAGTTTTAATCATGGTCTCATATATATATATATATATATATATATATATATATATATATATATATATATATATATATATATATATATATTAAATTTTCTTCTTTTCGTTATCTCTTTACTCCACAGTATACAGTATACTGACAGCAGGAAATATGTTGTCCGTTTTTGAGGTCTATGTTATCTAACTCGTTTTCAATACAAAGATATTTGGTTTTTGTTGTATTGACATTCATTCCCCAGTCGTTATATTCTTCTATCAGTTTTCTAAGCATGTACAGCATGTCTTCCCTGTCTGTCGCTAGTACGACCTGGTCATCAGCAAACTGGAGTGTATATATACATTCATTGCTAAGCTCTATACCCATCCTATGCACCTTTCTTTTCCATCTTTCCAATGCTGCTGCAACATATATATTAAATAAGGTTGGTGAGATACAGCATCCCTGTCGCGAGCCTTTTGTAACCAGGAATTCTTCCGTTAGATATTTTCCTGTTTTTATCTGTGCCTTCGAGTCTCTATATAGTTCTTGTACAGCATTTATCAATGTGTGGTTGATGTTAGATCTTTGCAACGTTATCCACAATTTTGTTAAGGGGATGTTGTCATATGCTTTTTGCAGGTCTACAAAAGTAATATGAGTTTCTAGATTCTTAGCTGATCTTTTTTCTATTATTTGTTTAAGACAAAATACGTTATCGGTGAACGATCTTCCTGCACGGAACCCGCTTTGTTCTTCCTCTTCATTGTGCTTATATTCTTCCTCGATCATATTTCTCAAAATTCGTCCATACAGTCTGCTCAGGTGCTGGTTACCGATATTCCTCTATAATTATTACAATTCCTTTTGTCCCCCTTTTTATGTATTGAGGACATGTATGCCGTTTTCCACTGTTCTGGTACTGGGTGTCCATTTAGACACTGATTGATCACATAAGTTAAGTTTTCAAATAGTTTATGAGTTCCATTCTTAAGCATTTCAGCATAGATTCCCTCAGGTCCAGCGGATGTACCATTCTTTAGGGTCAGTACCTACAGCCTTCCTTACTGTTTCGATGTCTACCCTCGCTTCCTCTCCTTGTATATGTACTGACTGTGTTGGGGAGTTCGCTAGGTATTCTTGTCTTGTCTCTGTCAGCAAGCTTTCATAGTGATCTTTCCATTGTCTTGGTTTTATGGTGTGTATGTGTGCTTTGTCTTTTCCTGTTTTTTAAAGATTGTATAAAATTCCATACCTCTGTACATTGCTTCCCTCCGATGTATGTATTTATTTCTTGACATTTCTGATCCCATGTTTTATTCTTTTCTTGTTTTATCATTTTTGGTAGTTATCTATCGGTTTCTTTGTAAGCTTGATGGTCTTCAGTATTTTTTGTATTTAGCCATTTTAGATGCTGTTCTTTTTTCTGTTTTACCATATATTCGATTTCTTCGTTCCACCATATTTTGTTACTAATTTTGTTTTGTTGTGTCCCGAGTGTCTCCTTAGAGGCCTGGTGTAAACTAGCAATAATATTCTCGTAAATATCTGAAAATGTTTGTCTCTCTATTTCTCGTAGTTTTTCATCCAGTCGTCGTTGGTATAGCTTTTTAGTACTATCATTTATAAAACTATTGAAGTTGTACTTCGGAGTGTCCACTGTCTCCAAGTCTTGCTTGTCTTCTAGGTTTTGGTCTCCGTTAAACGACACGTTAAACATGTATAAAAAGTGAAAGAAGCGGCTGGTATCTTCAATAAGAAACAAACTGTATTGCTACAGGATGAACATTGTAAAATAATATTTGAAGTAGAGGACAAACTTAAAGAATGGGGAAATTACGTCATGAACCTATTCGAAGACGACAGGAGTAGGTCACCTCCCGATATTACTAACTGCGACGGACCCTTAATAACACACTCTGAGGTTATAAAAGCCATACAATCATCAAAAGATTACAAAATTCCAACTGAAATAAACAAGCTTATAGATAATAGCAATGTTTTAGAGGCTATAACTTCGTTTTTCAATACCAATTATACCTGCGGACAACTACCTAATTGTTGGTCTAATTCACTGTTTAAAGGTCTACCTAAGAAGACAACAGCAAAAACCTGTGCTGATTATAGAACCATCAGTTTGTTAAACCACTTATTGAAAATTTTTCTGAAGGTAATACATGGTTATTTAGAGCTGCTGTCAATAAAGTCACGATAGCGAATATGGTAGCCAACATGATATCCAACGATCGATAACGGTCATGGAACAAGAAGAAGAATACATGGTCGTATCTACAATAAATGCGAGTAATACCTGGATGACACTCAGTTTGGTTTCCGTAACGGGTTTGGAACGAGAGCGGCACTGTTTGGAATGAACGTACTTGCTCAAAGATGTCTAGATATATCTGTAGACATATACTGTTGTTTTTGTTGACTTCCAAAAGGCATTTGATCGTGTCAAGAAATCTATATTGATCGAAGATCTAAAAGAGATTGGCTTGGACGGCAGAACTGTTCGAATAATTGCAAATTTATATTGGGATCAAACAGCAAGGATGCCTCTTGTCACCCCTGGTTTTCAACGTTTACTCCGAAAGAATTTTCAGAAAAGCGCTTTCTGAAAAACAAGAAGGAATACTTGTGAACGGTGAAGTCATCAATAAATTACGATATGCAGACGATACAGTACTCCTAGCTTCTAGTCAAGAAGGTCTGCAAACACTACCTGATAGTGTCGTTGAGAGATGTAGGGAGGCAGGTCTGGATCTGAACATACGGAAAACCAAAATACTCGTAATAAGTAAAGAACAGCGTATAAAACCGTCTATATAATGTAAATAATACCAAACTTGAGCAAGTTGATAAAATCGTTTAACTTGGACAGCAATTCAATTGTAACGCAGAAAGTTACGACGAAATTAGATCTAGCATAGAACAGGCTAGAGCTGCTTTTAGATGGATGTCTAAGGTGTTATGTAACAGAGACCTAAAGCAAGGACAAATTGCAGGCAAACGCAGTCCAGGACGAAGAAGAATCTCATCGTTGAAGAACTTGTGAGATTGGTATGGTGTTAATACAAGCTTGCTAGGGTGGCAGTGAATAAAATTAGGATAGCTATGATGGTAACCAACGTTCTGAAAGGACATGGTACATGAAGAAGAAGAATATGAGCCAACCAAGTACTTTTGGAATGTCGTTGGGCCAGAGCCAGAAGCGACCATTCGAACCTTTGACTACACAGGAGACGTATGATCAAACACGACCTTTGACTACTAAGGAATTAATTCCATGTCTTGAAGAAAATTCAGATATAGATAATGCAGATGAAGTAGGAGTTACATATATCCCTCCTAATGTTGATGAAATTACTGATGACGAAGACCTAGATGATAACCTCATTCAAGAAGATAATATTGATGCAAAAACTGCTGGAACATATAAAATTTACGTTCCGACAGTAAGTGATTCTGATGAAGATGATATCCCACTCAGTAAAATTCGCAATAAAATGCGAAAACTTAATCAAAATAAATCAAAAATTTTACCAAAATGGGAAACAACCACAACTCCAGCATTCTCGACTCATCCTGAAAGTAATAACAATCGTTTATTGAAGAACATCAAAGCCAGCCATGGAGGAAAGTGCTCATCGAAATATTTTCATTATTTTTCGATGATGAAGTTACAAACCAGATTATACACTTTTCAAATACTTATGCAGCACAAAACAATCGTCACAAATTCGATATGATGAAGCTGAACTGAAACGCTTTATCGGTATCTGCATATTATCGGGTTATCATACTTTGCCACAATGTGACATGTATTGGTCGAAAGATGAATACATACATAAGGAAGTAGCCATAGTGAGGGAAACCATGTCTAGAAGTAAATTTCGATCAACCAAACAAAATATTCATTTGTCTGATAATACTCAATTAGACAAAGATAATAAACTTGCTAAACTTAACATTTTACAATTTGGTATATTCGAACCTTTCAATAGACGAGGAAATGATACCATATTTTGGACGTCATTCATGCAAGATGTTCACTCGAGGAAAGCCTGTAAGATTTGGATTTAAATTATGGTGTCTTTCTTCACATACAGATTATTTATTGGCGACGTGCAAGTACTTGGAGGGGATACGAGAAACGATCGTGCGCGAGTAGCGGAGAAATCTTGCATTTTTTACTGCACATTTCATAGATTTCATATTGTCAATTGTCATATTTCATATTCGTTTGTGTATTTACACCTTCTATCTACTGTCTACTGTCACTGAAAAAAATGGGATTGAGGAAATGCTGTGTTATAAATTGTAAAAATACAACAAAAAAT